ATAATATTTATTAATATTTCGGGATTTTTTGTATAAAATATATATATATATATAATATATACAATAAAATATAAATAATATCATAATAAAGTTTACATAGAAGTTTATTTATTGCTTCATATTTTGAAAATAATTAGGAATGACTAAAAGGATGAATGTGTCTAAAATAATTTGTACATAATTTGGTATTATACTGAGTACTTATAGTAACATTATTTGCTTCTTGTATAAAGCTCTTTCTTTTTGCTTTTGTGATACACAGTATGCCATGCGTGATTTAAATTTTGTTCTGTGTTGTTTAAGATCGGCAGACTGGATGGTTGTGAGAGAGTCGTGGGGATTTGCGGCTCCGACCAGAAATGCCAGGCCTTGGTAACAGAGCTGGGTTTTACAGCAGGGATAAACTACAAAAAAGGAGATATCAGCTCAGCACTGAGGGAGCACTGCCCCACAGGCATTGATATATACTTTGACAACGTAGGGGGTCCCATCAGCGATGCTGTTATATCACAGGTACACTATGTCCCGCCCTCAGTTTTTATGTCAGTTTCTGTGGGTCATTTGTGTTAACGTGCAATACTCTCCCTGTGCAGATGAATCCCAGTGGTCATGTGATCCTGTGCGGCCAAATATCACAGTACAATAAGGATGTGCCTTACCCACCTCCTCTAAGTGAGGATACCCAGAAAGCTTTGTGTCACAAAAACATCACAAGGTACATGAAAATAGCTAGTAAAACCTACTTTGTTGATTGTATACATTGTATCATATTACCAACTTGTAAGCAATACAATATGTTCACAGGGAGAGATTTGTTGTATTAAACTACATGGAGAAGCATGAAGAAGGTCTTGTGCAGCTCAGCCGCTGGGTAAAGACGGGCCAGATAAAGGTAAATCTACCCCAGTCATGTTTCCTCACATGAAAGATGCCCTAAACCTTTTGTACATTGTATTTCTCCTCTTAATTTTACAGGTGTTGGAAACCGTTGTAAATGGTATAGAAAACATGGGAGGTGAGAGTTTATTGTTATTATTTTCTCATGTATTGAAGTGTACTTTGCATGCATATTGTATGAACTGTCTATGTTTATTTTAATGGATGTATGCACTATGCATATTTCAGAGGCGTTCTGCTCCATGATGACCGGAGGCAATATCGGTAAACAAGTTGTCAACATTTCAGACTGAGTCAAACATCTGCATCTGGAGGCCTTGTGGAGGTGGTGCAGTCATTATAAATGGTAACCGAAAGATTAGTAAAAAGGACTCTCAAAAAGACATATGAGGTTTCTCCAGTGGGACTGTCCCTTTAAGTGTGCTGTAAGTCATTTTGAATAAAGGCATCAGCTAAGTTGACCTAACATGTTTAAAATAAAAAATTTGTCGCTATTTAGTTCCATAGTATTTCTACTATGGAAGTCAGTGGGGACAAACAACTGTTTGGTTCTTCAAAATTCTTCAAAATATCTTCTTGTGTATTCAACATAAGAAAGAAACTTATACAGGTTTGGAACGACATGAGGGTAAATGATGACAAAATTGTTCTTTTTGTGTGAACTATTCCTATAATTTAAATTAAAATAAATGTAATAATGTTTGCCTTGCTCTAAGTGTCAATTTTAAAGGAACACTCCACTATTTTTGAAAATAGGCTCATTTTTCCAGACCCGGAGATCGGCTGAATGGATTCGAAAACGGTAAAACTCAACTGTTTAACTGTAGGGGAGTTGAAAAATGCGCCTATTTTCAAAAATAGTGGAGTGTTCCTTTAAAATAAATTTAGTGTCAGTTTTTGGTAACATATAGATAGTTTCAAGCACTGTTTGAGGTTTGACACTGAAAATGCACATATATAGTTTGTTAACAAGTATTTGGGGAAGTCCCTTATGTTCACCAAGGCAGCATTTATTTGATAAAAAATACAGTAAAAACAGTAATATTGTGATATATTTTTAGGATTTAAAATAACTGTTTCCATTTTTATAAAGATTTTAAAATCTAACTTATTCCTGTGATGGCAAATCTGATTTTTCAGCAGTCATTACTCCAGTGTCAAAGGAAAAAAGGAAACAACAAAATATGTCACAATATGAAACCCCTTTACTTTGTTGTACATAAATACAGCCAGATAAATCAATTCCAATGCAAGATGATTCAGAGTTGCAGAAACATGACAAATATAAATTGAGGTCATTTCATTGAGAAAACAACATTGTCAGCTGTAAAACAGAATCAAGAATCTATTTTTGGGCGTATTTTGTGGTGAAGCCAATTGTTAAGAGAGAATTCTGATTAAATTCCAAGTAAATATGTATTCATTGTTCACTGAAAAGAAACTATTTTGTGCCTTCCACAAAACAAATGTGAACAGAACTACAAAAGCCACGTTACCCAGAGAAACCCAGAATGCCCATAAAACAGTGCAGAACAACTGGAAGGAATATACATTACAATATCAATGTGGATGAATACAATAACATAATTACAAAAAGAAATACAGTACTTACAACCAAATCACATATAAGCAGATATTTCATCATCAAACATTCAAAGTCCTATTGGTTCACCACAAATCTAGATTAACACACCGAGTAAATGTGGAATATTCTAAAAAGGTTCGTTCTCACTATCATGTGCCTTAAAACTGCAACAAAACTCTTTCAAAATAACATTCAGGGCATTGAAAGACAAACTAGAGCAGTCTATTGTTCAAGTCTTTACTTTCCTGAGAGACAACAGAGACCTTGAGTGACCTGAAACAACAGGAATGTCAGTGAATCCACCAGAAACTCTTGTCACAGCTCTTTCTGTCATCCGTCAAGTGGACAGACCTCAATGACAACTCAGAGTTTCTTTTCAAACGAACTGATGGCCATTGTGTTTGTGTGGTCTGCAACTGTGAAAAACCAACTATAAAAGAGCTGCTTCACAACATTTCTCTAATAAACATGTAACAGAATTGTGCACAATTTACTATTTTCATGTGTTCAGTGTTTTCTTCTATATGCTACATTGGGATGTTCCCTTCAGCAGTCCAAAACGTCTGGTTTTAATCTTCAGCATGTGTTGAAGTGGCCATTATTAAGTGTATTAACTGTGACTGTGCACCAAAAATGTTCTACATTCATGCTCATCTATATAAATATAGTGGTTTCAGTCTTTGGAATATGTATTTGAATATGTATAATCAGTTAATTGTTGTTCAAATTGAAGTTCTTACAACTTCAGACAGTGGATAAAACTTAGTCGGGCAGGGAAGAAGCCAACTTTGTGTTCCACACCAAAACCTATTACACGGCTCTTCGAAATACTTAAAGGGTTAGCTCATCATGCTTATGTCATTCCAAACCCTTTCGTTCATCTTTGAAACACAAATAAAGATGTTTTAATTATTACTGAAAGATTTCTGTCCCTCCATTGAAAGTCCAAAAAACCTTTCCTGCTTTGAAAAGTTTGGTTTGTTCTCATGCATTAAGCAAGTATGATTGAGCTTCTCTTAAAACATATTCATTTGTATTTTGATAAATGCTGAACGAAAGTCCTACAGGTATGGAATTAATTGAGTAACTGATGTCATTTTTGGGTGAACTATCCCTTTAATTCTGACATATTCTTGTCAATGTTGGCATTCTGTGTCAACTATTTTTGTACAATGACTTTTAAACTATACAATTGAACATTGTCCAAGGCAATTTATTGTCCCTTTTATCATAATGCAGTTTGCTATAAAATAAAAAGAGCTCAAATTCAATATTTATGTTGTTAAGTAGCAGTGTAATTAGTGGGATAATGTACAGTCATCTAGTCATTATAGAGTCCTGATTGTCTAATCCAGGGGTGACAAATTCAATTCCCAGAGTGCCTGTGTCCTGCAGAGTTTAGGTCCAACTCTAATTTAACACACCTGAACCAAAGTAATCAGGGTCTTCAAACTCACTAGAAACTTCCAGGCAAGTGTGTTGGAGCGAAATAGGGCTGTCACGATTCCTTGATTCAATTCGAGTACTCGATTTTTAAAAACCCTCTATTGCATTTTGCCCTTGTCGAGTAACCGGCAAAGTGGCGCATTCCACGGACGAGAATCGACGAGATGCATTATTAGACCGTTTACCAAAGCTGCATGATATATAAAACCCATTTAAAAATCATAATAAAGCATAATGCTATTGTGTATTCTCAAACGCTACGACTCAATTAAATATATCCGCTTTGTTTGCATGTGTGTAGGTTACATAAGTGCATGTCAGAGCGGTTCAGTTCGCAGTAAATGCTGCTCCACACGAACTGTTATCATTTACATGCGTGTGAGTTTGGGTTTATTATAACGTTCATCTGGGAATGCAATGTGCACCATTTCGTCAGATTTGTAAGGTAAATCATTTATAAACTTACGCAAACACTGGCGAATACATCTTTCTCAATATGCTGTCAATCGCAATTTCAAAATAAAAGTTTAAACCCTTGCTCTGAGATTTTATGTCCACATATTCAAGAAATTGTTGGAGCATTTCTGTCTGTAAAGAAATGGCCAAAAATAAGATTAAGTGGTCCTTTGAATTAAATGTTTGGTCAATATGTGAGTGGCGCCTTCTGCAGGCATTTGTTATAATGCGTAATGTACGTTAGCTCCTTTATAATACATTATGCATTTTAACAGTTTTGTTCAAGAAAACCATATGATTACTTGCTTTTGATATTTTATTTGAACTAATTATTATTGCCTCATTGCTATTATACAGTAGTCAACATTTGAAGTGGATCAAAAAAAGTTCAAAGCTGTCCTAAGACAAGAACGCATTTTGCTTTTAGGTTTTAGGACAACTTTGATGAAAGGTTTTGATCCACTTCAAATGTAGACTAGTGTATATATATATTTTAAGTAATTTTAAAGGCTATTGTTCGCTTAGGTCTAAAAATTTTATTACAATAATCCGATTACTCGATTAATCGTCAGAATAATCGACCGTTTACTTGATTACCAAAATAATCGTTAGTGACAGCCCTAGAGCAAAACGGATATTGGCCCTCCAAGAGCAGGATTGGACACCCCTGGTCTAATCTGATTGGCTGAGCAGCGTTCCATACACAGTTTAAATCTGTGTGTTGCTTGGTGACATGCAAAGCTTGATGCTTTGGCTTCTTTTGGAACTACTTTCATTGGTGGATAAAATAATTTATAGCCAATAATGGCTTCATCCCTTAAATTATCCTTCACGTATTATACCTTGTCTACAGGTGTAAAAATTATATAATCCCCTTTACAGTGTAGTTTATATGCATTAAAACAATATGAGTATCCATATTGACTGATCGGTGGCGATTTCATGCAGAAACATTAAGAATATCAGGCAATCTTATTCCTTTATTGATTGCTTCTCACAAATAAAATCAAATATAATTGGACGAGTACTGTACATAATGCGCAGTTTATCAAAGTAATAGGTATGCATAACCACACACATCTGGACTTCAACACTGCTTGGGTTCACAATGGCGGGAACTGGCTATAAAAAACTACCAACGTGTCTTAGTGTCAAAGGAGGATCAGAACCAGGTTTGAAATGGCTCCATCATCCACATGTGATGCCATCATCGCTCCATATTAACTAAAGACTATATTTTCTCTATCCTAATGTGTAATGGCAATGATTGGCAATCCGGTGACCGTGAAGACAGCGGTGAATGGAGGGAAGAGCTTGGCACAAAACAACGATGCAGGTGAAGGCCTCTCTTCAACTGTCACCGTCACGATGGCCGGTTGGTCTTGCTGCCACCGGAGAAGTTAGGAGGTGTTCCCCACCATGCCCTGTACACCAACAGCAGACCCATGAGAAGGCCCCAGCTACGTACGGGAGAGAGGAAGAATGCCAGCAGCCCGTAGGTCTCCAGCAGAAAGTAGCAAGAATAGGCCTGCCAGATCATGAGGACCAGCATGCCTATGTGCATCGCCAGAGTCCTCCAGCAGCTGCCCGGCCGACAGAAATGCGAGCGGAAGCTGGTGCCGCGACACCTGTGGTGAAGACTCCAGCAGAGGTAATAAGTGAGAGGCATATTGAAGAATAGCACCTGTGGATGACAGACGGCATGTTACGACTCGGCCGTTACGATAAGTATGATCTGCACCTAGATCTTGAATTACCTGTATGACTCCCACGACATAGGTAAGACTGCCTTCAAGGAAATGGCCATCCACAAACACGCCAAAAGCAAAGCAGGCTCCATTGTGTCCATCAATGACTTCCCCAATGAACCATGGACCTGAAAAACCAGAAGATAAAATGCACTGTTCTTACTTCACAGTAATTGCAAGGAATTGCAATTTCCCTTGATACTGTAATCATGATTATTCCTTTCGGATTGTAACCTTGTGAGTGTCACAACAAAAGTGACACCTTAAATTCTGTTTCTGTCAGTGTCATCATTTACTCACCCTCATGTCATTCCAAACCTGTATGACATTCTTTATTCTGTGGAACGCGTAGATATTTTGAAGAAAATCACCTTTGTGTTTTTTTGTCCATATAATGAAAGTCAATGGGGCCCAATAAAAGTCTTTTTTTTTTATCTATTTTTGTGTTCCACAGAACAATTAGTTATGATAAATATAAGTTTAGAATGTGACAACATGAGGATGAGTACATTTTCAGCTAAATTTTCATTTGGGTGAACGATCTATTGTGAATGACCCATATAGAGTTGAATGTAACTTCAGACTAGGCCTGGGCTGTCACGATTCCTCGATTCAATTCAAGTACTCAATATAAAATAATTCCTTGACTGCATTTTGCCCGTGTCAACTACCTGGCAAAATACCAGAAGTGGCACATTGCCTGAAGGTGAATCCATAAAACGCATTATTAGACCATTTTCCAAGACTCCATGATATATTAAACCCATTTAAAAATCATAAAGCATAATGTTATTGTGAATTAACAAGCACTGCGATTTAATTAAATAAATATATGTGATGCCGGTTTAATATGTGCTTTAATTATTTACACACGTGTACTGTAGGTCACGTCCGTGCGTCTCGGAGCGGCTCCGATCGCAGTAAATGCTGCTCCCCACAAACTGTTACCATTTACATGTGTGGAGCGTCTCAAACTCCATCTCTGCATATTGTTGTGAGTTTGGGTTTATTATAACGTTCCTCTGGGAACGCAATGTGTGCCATTTCCTCAGATTTGTAAGGTAAGTCATTTATAAACCTATGCAAACACAGGAGAATACATCACTATCTTTCTCAATATGCTAACCGTCAATCAAGATTGCAAAATAAAGCATTTCTGCAGTAAAGAAATGGTCAAATATTAAAGATTAAGTGGACACTTGAATTAAATATTGCTTAGTCAACATTAAACAAGGTTTAGATCACGCAGTAAAGTGTAAAAACAATCGTCAGGCCGTTGGTGCCCTCTGTAGTCATTTTTTAAAATGCGTAATGTACGTTAGCTCTTTTGTTTATAATACATTACGTATTTTAACAGTTTTGTTCAATAAAACCATATGATTACTTGGTTTTGATACTTTATTTGAACTAAATATTATTGCCTCATTGCTATTATGTATTTTAAGAAATTTTAAAAGCTATTGTTAGCTTAGGTCTATTTTTATTACTATAAAAAAAAATTATCCGATTACTCGATTAAACGTCAAAATAATTGACAGATTACTCAATTACCAAAATAATCATTAGTTACAGCCCTACTTCAGACTCTTCTATGGATTTTGTACATGAAAATTGGTATTTGTTTATCTAGATGTTTTCATAATAGTCTTAGGCTCATCAAAGGCATATAAAAAAATTGTTTTAATTTTTTAAAGTTTTTAATTTTCTTTTTGCTCAAAAATGACCCGGACCGAACATGAGGATTAAAACTTGCTCATTTAGACTGGTTGAGGATATCGATTGGTATATAGACTAATTTAACATTCCTGATTAACCATCGCTCTCATGTCTGTTATTAGTTACAAAGCTAAAAAAAAAAAAAAAAGCTGTAAATATGCATATTTTGCTGCAACAGAAGTTGACCTGTATTGAATACTGTAATTGGCACTTTCACTATTTTATTTTTAGTTTATAATTTTATTAGATTACCTATGCAGCCTTAAGTTCAAGGGTTGGTTATGGGCATTCATAAAACTAAGAGGCAATTATCTATAATATAATAATTGTGTCATTATCACTCTTTCTCTCTTCTGAATACTCAGATGGAAAAAAAAATACTCTCTGTATATAAAAATAAAAAGATTACAGGCCTTCTGCAGTGGTAGTTTAAGTCATTATGTTCCATCAATTTGTGAAACTGTTCAAGTGGTGTCAGGCGGTGACTTACCTAATGCTGTACACAGGTTGAACAGCAGCAGAGAATAGAAGAACGTGTTGCTTTTACTAACAATATGCAGAGATGTCCACGCTTGAGAAGACAATCCTGATGGATTATAAGAGTATATAGTGTTAAGTGTCAATTATGTGCATGAAGACCATTTATATTCAGTTATAATGACAGGACAACAGAAATACCTCTTGTAGAAGATACAGGCATAAATCTGAAGAGCACAAGCCCAGCAAGGTTTAGTAATACTATGCCCACAAAGGCAATCCGAGCCTGTGGGAACACACACACACAGTCACTGCACATGCATATAATATTCATTAACAGTAAACTATTAACTATAAACTTTTTATGTACTTTTGTGGTAAATGTGTTTTATGTAGAGATTTTACGGTTGTATTCTTATCCCAGACACAGATTTCAATCTTATAAAAATCCACTATAATATATTAATTATGGCATGTTTAAAGCTATGATAATTTAAAGGGATAGTTCACCCAAAAATTAAAATTCAGTCATTAATTACTCACAAAAATACCTTAATTTGTGTTCCGAAGATGAACAAAGGTCTTAAGGTTTTTGGAACAACATGAGGGTGAGTAATTCATGACAGAATTTAAATTTTATCCCTTTTTCCCCCTTTTTATCCCCTATCACTAACTGAAGAGTGAAGTAAACAGCCATTTCAATATTTATTGCGAGATCAATTTTTCACCACCACACGATGATCATTTTTGTACCAGTATGTAGTGGTCTGTAAGGAGGATGAAGGACTGCATGAAGCCGAAGCTGGGAGTGAGGCCTTCCTCCAGTGTGAATTGCTGCTCTCGCACTTTTGAGCGACCTGCAGAGTCCTGGGACAGGGAGACAGAGAACAAGTGAGAAAAGCTCACACTGTGCCATTTTCTTAAAGAAACAATACAACCATTTCTATATATTTAAATAAACAATTGCTATGCAGTTGCTAAGTTTCTGAGTGGTTTAACCACGTTGCTTTGTGGTTCCTAGGCTGTTCTGGAGAGTTTTACTTTGCGGTTGCTAAGGTTTTCTGAGTGGTTGACATGGCATGTTGTTGTTCTGTGTTTTCTGGTTGATTGCTGAAGTCCATCTCTATAATATTCTAGTCTCCAGATATTACTCTTATAAAGTCTACAGGACCAGGCAGAATTTGTTTGACCAACTGTTTAGAGAAGCAACAGCACACCTCTTCTAAATAAGCCACATGATTTGAGGAACGAGTGATTAGTGACGAGTTTAATACTAGAAATCTGGGTTAGTTCAAATCGTTACCTACCTCCACTTTAACTCTGATAGTGTGCAGTCCAGTAGTGTATAGCGTTGGGTCCCATTGCAGCACGTATAAAGGACCCCCTGAGTTAAACGCTTTTCCCAGTGAAACTCCATCCACATTCACATGCACAGCTGTGATTGGAGATTCAGAGAAAGCCAGGAGCCTATAGAAGCGACACATGGCACATTGAGCAATTAGTGCAACCTCAAACTATGACATTCTTCGTAGGACCGAACAAGACAAGCACGCAGAGAATAAACATAAACGTGAGGTTTGGATGAGAGATGATAATGTTTCATAAGTCAACGTCTGAGCGCGTGAAGTTTCAAGAGGACACACACAGAGACACCTGATGTGCGTGGAACTGCCAATACGACCCAGAGGCTCCACTCCTGGGTGCAGGTACTGGGCGTCTTTGGGATTGGTGATCAGCACAGCTGGCCAGTCCTCAAACGTCACGTCAGTGAAACTAAGCAGGTCATGGTCGAAAGCCAATATCCTGTACCTGAACCAAGGGAGAAATTTGTGTCACTGCATTTTTATAAGAGCTAAGGCACAACGCTATGTCTTCCTCATATATCAGCTGTTGTTCTTGTATTTGCTAACATAGTCAGCTATATTTACATCATGCAGCATTCCCTTGAGCGTGGGCCTCGTTCTTTGTGAACTTACCTGCGGTTGTCCATCCAGTCTCCCAGCTCTAACTCCAGCGTGCCTCCTTATATATATACACACACATTTTTTGTTACATATGTGAAATAATTTTTATTATTACTTTTGTACGGACAGAAACAAAAGTCTACTGTATATATGGTCTATATATCACAAAGTCTATTTTAGTTTTTCTTGTGTTTTCATTACAATCTTTTGTAGAGACTTGATGCTGTAATTAAAAATATCTAACTCCAGCGTGCCTCCTTGATGTCGACTGTGCAGTACCGGCATGAAGCCTCCTAGTGTATGTAGGTGCCCACACAAATACGCCACGGCTGTACTGTAAAAAATAATGGATAAAATGTGAGATTCAGCAGAATGTGATGAATATTATAAGACGCAATCTAATGCCGCTTGTTAGCTCTTTAGCATTATTCCCTACAAGTGTTTAACAGCACTGAATATGACATTATTACAGTATTTCAGACCAGAATTCATGCTAGACAATCATGTTCTAGGGTTTAGATGTAGATCAGATGGCCAAATAGACATCGGATTTAGAATGACATTTGAAAAGTGGCCCAAATGGAGTCGCAGCCTCAGATGGCGCAGTTACAGGCCATCCACAGGTCACTAAATGATTCTGATTCTGAAGTCCTTTTCCTAATTTGCAACATAGAGGTGAGGTGAGAGTTTTTTTGTTTTTTTTTTATCACAGAGAAACTACTGGCTACATGGTTTAAATAAACACTGGAAAGTTTAACAGGTTCATAAAATTAAATATTTGAAAAAATACAAATAAAAATTAATAAAAAATGTATAAATTAATAAAAAAGTCAGTAGCAAATATATACATACATATTATTTATTTATATTGTGTTTTCATTACAATCTTTTGTAGAGACTTGATGCTGTAATTAAAAATATTTAATTATATTGATTTACACCAGCATTCAATTTTTTTTTTTTTTTTGAAGAAGAAATTAATACATTCATGAAGGATGCATTAAATTGATCAACAGTGACTGTAAAGCCTTTTACATTGTTTCAAAAGATTGCTACCTCAAAAAAAATGCTGTTCTTTGGAAAGTATCAAAGAATATATCAGTTTCCACACAAAAAAATATGAAGCAGCTTTTAATAAGAAATGTTTTAAATGTTTTTGAGTGTCAAATCAGTATATTACAATGATTTCTGAAGGATCATGTGACACTGAAGACTGGAGAAATTATGCTGAAAATTCAGCTTTTACATCACAGAAAATTTTTTAAATATATTAGTATAACAGTTAAAAATCTTTTGAAAAGTAGTCTTATTTAAATACATTTTTAATACATCCTTTATATTATTGTATTATAATTTTTATATGGACTAAACCTTACAAACTCTAAATATATTTTAAGTTGTTTTCTAATGTTTTCAGTATAGTCATATCTAGAAATTTGGCACTGTTATTAAATTTTTTTTTTCATGCTGGTCCTTTATTGTAATGTAATCTAATTTCAGATAAACCAACCTCTAACAGAACAGTTGCTGGTCACTTTATATGCTGGTCACATGCTCTCTTCGTGTCTAAGTGGGCCGTTATTGGCGGTCAGTGGGGAAAAATTTCAGCAAGTCTGCAAGTTCACTGTCACAGCAAGATTTTTCCAAACCTCATGAGCTCTCGGATTCCAGGGAAGGGGGAGATGACAGTAGATGTGGTATAATGTCCAAACCAGATGGACTTGTTACTGTTCAGACTCTCCTCACTAAAGGTTGCCAACATGTCCATCTGAGTCTATGGGGAACATCACATTTCAGCCAAAGAGAAAAGTTGTCATCACATTTACATAAGCAAAGCTAAAATAATCTCTCCTACCTGATTGATAATTCCAAAGAAGTTATAGGCCCGTTTGGGTCCAGGGGTCAGAGTGGCATCAGCACAAATGAAAGAGTAGTTCCCAAAAGGAGTTCTGTGTATGTAGTGGAAGGATCCAACTTTCTGATTGGCAGAGTATTTCCTAAGTATTCAGGAATGGAGATAAAGACAAAATTTCTTCCCAAAGAGACCATTAGATGTGCATTAAAAAGGATTTTTTTAAATGTCGACTTTAATATCGGAACCTTCTTGTAACTTTATAGCCATTGTGTTCTGCATTTGTAATATGTGTACAGACCTGTAATAATTGTTCACGCTCTCCAGTGAAATAATATTAAAGGCATCTGAGGAGACAAGAAGAAAATATAAGTCAAGATTTCCTGGAAATGGAAGAAGAGCAGGAACAAAATAACTGATAATGGAGCTCCTGTTACAGGTCTGGCAGCTTTCGTAATGTAACACCAGTTACAGGACCTGTGGGGAAATGGGAATAGAGGAAAATTTATATGCGAGCTATGCGAGTTCATTAGAGATGTTCATTAGCCACCACCAAAGCCGATGCAGTCTTCATAGCTAAATATTAATATAATAATATCAGATGAAACACAGCTGCTGCACAGAGAGATTTATGTATATTTCATCTGTTCATAATAAATCTCATTGGTCCAAATCCTTCTCCGTTTAACTGTATATTAATCATCAAATGTCATTTTGATTGGCTGCGATTCTGTTGCGCTGCAATGCATTTTGTTTTAGCGTGGATTTGTCATTGGAAACATAACGTGTCACACACAGCTGGTTGTAAAAAGAGGTTTAAAGGGATATATGCCAGTAGAGCTATGGCGAAATATAATTCTTACAGTATAATGACTTGAATTTCAGTCTGTTTCTCACGCAAAGCTATCAAGTGGTCTCTGAAGACTTGGAATGTAGTGCATGTGTACTTTTATGGCACATTTTTCAAGGTTTACAGTCTGAATCAGCAACCAATTGTTTGGAAAAGAGCAGCATGAACAATTATCTAAATATCTCCTTTTGTGTTTGACAGACAAAAAAACCATATAGGTTTGGAATGTGTAAATGGAAATAATTATATCAATTTATAATGGTTGCCTGAACTGAACTTAAATAAGTTGAAGTACTAAAATTACTAAAAATGTAAAATAATTTAAAGCTAAATAGAAATAGAAAAAAAAAAAAAATGACAAGCACATACAAAAATTATTAAAACTTTAACAATAAAATTAAAACAGCGAATTCAAAATATGTATAAATACTATAACAGAATATATATAATAATACTTCATCAAGTCATTTCAAGTCATTAGTGTGACATAAGAGTGTCCAGCTGTCTTCACTCAATGTCCTTTAATTGTTTTATTGTCAACAGACACTGGGACAAAGACAAACAATTATTTGTCCCTGACCAACAGTGATGTGCAAAGAGGAAGCTTATTTCTGGTCTTTATTTAGCTCTCCCACCCAAACCTTCAGACGCTTTCATAATGATTTCTGGATGCAACTGACATTAGAAAACAACGATGAAGTGTACAATTTTTGTCATGTTAAAATATTTTTTTCCTATCCCACTTTAATATGCAACTATAAGTGAGCTCCATTCATAACGTGTGTAAACACTTCATTTGAGCCTGACACAGCAATATTGGCTCAACCAATGGTGTGATTTTGGGGCGGGACTATCTGTTTCACTGACCTATGGCAGACAAGTGATCAACACAATTTTATTTCATTGTGCAACTATTTTACGTTTTGGCGAATTGGTGGCTAATTCGTATGAATTCATACTAACTCGTTTGTACATTTTTGTACAATCTGCTTCTGCCCCGGTTTATGTTTAAGGTGGATTTTCTAAAAATCATAAACTTTCATATGCTTCACATCATACAAATTCATAATCACCTCTTTTATAGTTATGTTTTACCACAAATTTGGGTTGGAGTGTTTGGGTAAACCTGTTTGACAATGATCTCGATATTTTCAAAACTCCAGGCCTTGAAAATCATAATTTAAAATAATAATAATAAAATAATAATCACCATGGTTTCCTCGAATGTCAATCCATTTAGTTCGTTCCAGCACTCGTGATCTTTTAAGGACGTTGTGGTAGGCCTGCCACTCCACTTCATGTTGAAGAGAGCCCATTTTACTCTCAGTCTTCGCATCTGTTAAGTCCCCTGTTAAATAAAGTCAAAATGTGGGTTTATGTTGCATGCATGTATAAAATCTAATTTGACTATGTATACAGTAAGTAATGTATGGCAGCTCACCTGTGGCCAGCACAAGATCAGGTTTTATCACATCAATAGTGCCACTACAGAACTTTTCGAAGTCTGGAATGCGCCTGGGATCGTGGAAACGACTGATATGGATGTCGGAAACCTGCACAGAGGAATCAGCATGTTTAGAAATCAGCTAATAATGAGGTTTCACGCAGGCATGTTTGTAGTTAACAGAGAGTGTTGGAAATCTCACACATAAAACTCGCCTATTTATAGAACAAGTGTCACTGGCATATTAGAGGAGGCATGTCTTATGTGCGAGTCCGTACTCAGCTGAAGGTTTCATGTTTTATCATCCAAACTATAACACTAGGGCTTTATGCACACTGTATACAGGTGCAGCTTAATAAATTAGAATGTCATGGAAAAGTTCATTTATTTCAGTAATTCAACGCAAATTGTGAAACTCGTGTATTAAATAAATTCAATGCACACAGACTGAAGTAGTTTAAGTCTTTGGTTCTTTTAATTGTGATGATTTTGGCTCACATTTAACAAAAACCCACCAATTCACTATCTCAACAAATTAGAATACTTCATAAGACCAATAAAAAAAACATGTTTAGTGAATTGTTGGCCTTCTGGAAAGTATGTTCATTTACTGTACATGTACTCAATACTTGGTAGGGGCTCCTTTTGCTTTAATTACTGCCTCAATTCGGCGTGGCATGGAGGTGATCAGTTTGTGGCACTGCTGAGTCATTATTTTTGCCTCAAAAATAATTTTACTTTTTTAAAGATTCAACCCCTCACTAGGGGTGTGCGATATTGACAAAAAATTATATCTCGATATTCAAATTCTTACATTTAATCAGGGAATTAGAATAATAAGACATTTGGGCTGTTACCAAGCAAATTAAATCAACACAGAAGCTGCATCTGAAGTGGCATTTAGATGTATTTACACACATGTATTTAGTTTAATGCAAGACATGAATGCATTTAACCTGCAATTACAAATGCATAAATAATGTTTTGATATATTAAACATGTATGTGCGGACTTTTTTCAAGCTCTTCACCTTTGGATATATTAAACATAAAACGCTGAATACTGATATTTGAAATGATTTAAAACATGAAAAAAAATCACAAAAAAAAAAAAAGAAAAGAAAGAAAAAGCCGAAATTTGAAATTAAAACCGCCAGCAGGTGGCAGCAAATCACTGTTAATAAGTGAGTGACTGCGATTGAACCGAATAATTTAAACGGTTGATTAATTCAAGAACGAAACACTGTCATGTTGCTCAGAGACACAAAACAGCGCTGTGGCTGTATTCGTAATTATTTTTGTTGGCGAAATAGAGCAAAACCAGTCTCTTAATTAACTTATTGTTTATTGAATTCAATGTCACATTTGTAATCATGGTAATTTTTGGAGAAAAACGGCACTCTTCGTGTGAAATTGAATAACTATATGAAGTGGTATAAATATATAAATTTTCTGCCATGTCTTGAATTTGTGATCATTCTAAATGCATTTTAATAGACTGAATCATGCAGTGAAAGAAAACACACTAAATGCGCACACGCACTAGTCTAGACTTCACGTAATGTATGCGTGCAACTCTGTAGGGATGTTTTGAATGGTTTTTGCAAAATACTCAATAATGTCAAATCGCACATCGTTAAAACAACAATTACGATATTATCGCAGACGATATATATCGCACACCCCTACCCCTCACACCTGCTTTTTTTTATAGGACAGTGCAATTTTGCAAAAGGACTAGGAGATTTATGTGTGAAATATAAAATATAAAATATAAAATTAAAATTAAATTTTCAGCGATCATTAACTAACAGCGGAATAATACAGTTACTCTAACATAATATATTATATATACACATTTAACTCTAAAATAAATGACATAGTATAAGATACCTTTTTGCCAAAGTTGTGTCCCAGCATTCTTTAAATTTTGTTACTCAGATTGTGTTATTCTATCACAAATAGAAATACTGAATGTATAATAATATAATATAATATATTTTTGGACCCTATTAAAAAAAAATTCCATTAGATGAAAGACCTCTTGTAGGTCTACCCAGTATTTTGCATTAAGAATTACATATAAATATTAATATTTATCAATGAAACCAGTACAGTCAGTATACTATATGCTTGATTACAATATCACTGGAAGTATGTGACATGTGAAAAAAAAATGTCCTTTCAATTTTTGTAACACACATACACCATATTACATTCATTTAATGTCTCGTCGTGACCATAACCAATTTATTGAGTATTCATGGTTATATACACAATACAGCTAAACTATACAATGTCACGTTAGAGGTTAGAATATTCCAGCCTTTTACACCAAATACACAAAATAATGATCTTTAAAAAAGCATCATATGACCCCTTTAAATATTTCACACAACAGCCGTCTTTACAGCGCGACGAATAAATTATTATGGCAGAACACAAAATAAAAGCCATCCCCCAATCAATCACATGATCAGCCCATTGACAGACTAATGACAGGGTGACAGGTTTTTATGACCTCTCACACACCGCAGCGTTAAAGCTCTGCTCACCTGCACAAACCAGAACACACTGTCCAGCTGCCCGCCGGGATACGGAGGGCCAGTCTCTCTGGACCGATGTAAACTGCGCTCCGGTAAAACGGTTTATGCTGTGGCCATCTAGTGGTCATAAAAATAAATAGCACCTTCCAAAGTGTTATGTTCCATTCTTTTTATACAGTCTATGGTTCCATTACAGCCAGCGGTTTCACATCTGGTTCTACCACTGATTTTTTTGTTTTATTATATTTTATATAAATAATGTTTATTGTCAAAGTCATTAATTTGTGTCGGTGTACTGGCACTAAAATAAGTAAAATAAATAAAACATAAATTCATAAATTAAATCTATGATCTGTTTATTTGAACGCTTGCCTTCCTTAGACTGATATTTCATGGCCAAAGTTCATTTTTTAGCTCAATATATAAATTACGATTAATAATAATAATAAAAAAAACAATGCCAACACATTATAATGTAATATAATGTAAAGGAAACGGCGCTGAGGTTCGCTTTGTTTGAACCAGATTCTGAGGCAGTCACGTGGTGTTCAGGCGAGCGAAGCTTCGGGCGTGATAGATCACGTGCTTTTTTCAAAGCGAATCAAGCTCCGATGCAGTGCTTCAATGTGAAATGTTGTTTTTTTTATACAAGCTTAGAAGCTTCGGTGTTGAACGTAACATTACTGGAATAAGTGGAATAATGTAGTCAGCTGGTGTTTGTCACAAAATAAACTCCATCGTTGATTTATTCATTTAATTAGCAAATTACACCGGATCAGGTGTATATTTAATGTATTTATTTATGTTACTGAGCCACCGAGCTGTTGGAGATCCCGTTTTCTCATAAGAAAAAGCCCAAATCAATAACATTGACCTTTCCACTCCATTTAGTTTATTGATTGCACTTCAGCAGGTCTGTAGAAAAGACAAGGACGTATTATACTACATTAATGATCTAAATTACATGTTCTCATACTGTTTTCTGCTGTAGTATTCAAGTTACTATAAATATGCTGTACAGCTATCGTTCATTTAAATTTGAATATGCATCCTGTTTTTAATAATTGAATCAAGTTTGTCATTATAAAATGTAATGTATGTTTCATAGACATTTTCAGTTCAGTAGGTAGTTAACAGATTATCACCCTGTTTGAAATGTATCATAACAGCTCTGCATGTCTACATCATGCTTATAACATCAGGAAGAGAAGTTAACATGACCTAAATTGTCCCATCTGTAAAAACCACATGGAATTAATAAAAACACCATAATCACAGAAGACTTGAGCATTTCATTTAATTCACAGACATTAATTTTTTATGAGCATCAAAGCTCACTGAAATTAAAACTTTTAACTTTTTAATTTTAATTTTTAAGTGCTTTTGGACTATATCCTAGAAAACATGAGGAAGAGCAGTAGGCCTGATGTCTCTGCCTGTACAGTTTGTACACAATCATTAGAAAACAATTTCACCTTCAGAGTTCATTAATATACAAAAACAACTCAAAAACGAATTCATTTAATTCAGTAAAAGGCTATCACTTGGCCAAAGCCTACCTGAATATTAGTCATGCACATGGCATCTTACGGGAAAAGTGATGTTTCATATTGTAATGTATTATGTCCGTTTTAAGGAACAAAAAGGCACTTCACATTCTGTATTCTCGCTTTAAGTGCACAATCGCGATTGCTTGTTTTTCACGTAAATCTCTGAAACTTCAAAGAAGTAGTAATGGCACATGACGGCTAAAGTCACTTGTGAAATGTCTTGCTCGGATCCTTGGCGTGATCGAGCAGCAGCTGACAAGGCGTAAACTGGTTCCCAAAGACCTCCTCAAACTTTCTCATCTTCTCCACAAGTTTGTCTGCACCAAAGCTGTCCACAAACCTGAAGGGTCCTGCAATTAGATAATTATCATAATGATGGGAATGAATGCACATTATCCTTTAAAATTTATTTTGCTTAAATCAAAGTAAATCTAGACTTTGGACTCTCACCTCCAAGGCAGGGTGGAAAGCCGAGACCGAACACGGCCCCAATGTCACCCTCCACTGGATTGGCAAGGATTCTCTCTTGCAAACACAGAACAGCCTCATTCACAAAACGGGACACCAACCTGTACTGAATATCTGAGTCTGAAGATCTGGGTGGAGAGACAGAAAGCAGCAGGGATGCTTTTTTTTCCTTCTTGGATGAAAAATGATGAATTACCCTAGTACAGAACAATAAGACTGCATCTGTCCTGATAAAATGTTACTTTAGGAATTGAAACTAAAGAGTCTGAACAACTTACATAGCAGCGTTTGGCGTCAGCTTGTATGATTGCAAAATCTCCAGAGCTTCTGTGTTCACATCCCTGTGTTTAAGTCCAGGCTGGTAGATGTAGCAGCCCTTACCTGATTTACGGCCTAATTGCGAATTGAGAAGAAATATTTATGACAAATTATACCGAACATGTTAAGGTCACTAAAGGCCGCTAAAGATTAAGCCTTAAAGGGATAGTTCACTCAAAAATGAAAACTCTGTCATTAATTACGTGTGACATCAGTGGTTCGACCGTAACTTTACGAAGCCACGAGAATACTTTTTGTGCGCAAAGAAGACAAAAGTAACGACTTTATTCAACAATTCGTCTCCTCCGCGTCACCCTGTAGCACCATTTTGGAGAGTATCACATACGTAAACAACATATGCTGTTCTGTGTCAGGAGCACCGTACGCGAATACGCGGTTTACGCTTTGATCTGAAATTTTTGGGCGAACAATCCCTTTAAATGAGTATTTAACTGCTGACAAAATAGACAAATTAACACTACCAAAATAAAACAAATACATATGAAAACTTATGATAAATTAACTGTATTGAACAAATATTTTTTTACATTTTCTAATTTATATTCAAGTATTTAATTTGATTACTTTCACAAATATTGTTATTATTTTATTATGATTTCATATCATTATTTTCCAGTAATTACAACTTCAATTTTTCAAATGTTATTTTATGCTTGTGCTTTTGAAAATTGATCTTTGGAGATTGATCCATGCGTTCGCACACTCTATTTTGAAGGTTGAGCTGTATGCAAACACGTTCACATCAAAACTGAAGTATACTTTGTCCTTAAGCTAAAGAATGTACCTTTAAATCCTTTGTCCACCATGCTCTTCAAAAACTCGACATTTCCCCCTCCAAATCTGGAGCCGAAGGCCTTGCCGAGGTCTTCAGCCACATGAGCTGCCACATCAATGCCCACTTCATCAGCCAGGGTTGCAGCACCAACAGGAAAGCCAAAGCCTGTGGTCAGGGAATCCAGCTTCTTGGGGTCGACACCTTCCTGTATGTAGAAAATACAAAGATCTGCATATTACTAGGCATGATACTATTAAGAGTGTCATCATAGCCTGGTTTTTATATAGAACACTTTTACAGCAGATGGGAATAAATGAATAATTCAGAAGGAAATACACAAACCTGCAATACACGCACTGCCTCAGCCAACATGGGAGCTAAACATCTGGTGGTGTAGAAACCTGGTCCGTCCTGAAGACAGACATTGCAATTTGTTATTCAAAAACATTTTAATGGATTATAGACCCATAAAATGTACATTTTGAAAATCTCTGTCTCACCCCAACGACGATAATGACTTTGCCTTGCTTCAGGCCGACCGCCACCGCTGAGGCTGTTGTGTCCTTAGAGGTTTTATCAGTGGTGATGATCTCCAGTAGCTGCATCTTGTCGACTGGAGAAAAGTAGTGCATTCCAATTACCTGAAACAAAACAGTAACATGTTCCAGATCGTCTCTAAACTTCACATGGTGGTCAAGAACTCAAGTTTCTTACCTTTTCAGGTCGCTTGCTGACAGCTGCAATATCTTTGATTGGTAAAGCAGATGTGTTGGTAGCAAATATACAGTGTGGAGGAATCACCTGGAATGAGGAACATATGGTATCATCAAAGCTTTAGTATTTAGGAGAATTTGAAATCTCAGTCTTGTTAGATATTAACTTACTGCTTCAACTTCTTTTAGGACTTTGTGTTTGATGCTCAGGTCCTCAAAAACAGCTTCAATGATCATGTCAGCTTTATTAAAGCCATTGTAGTCAAGCTGTCCAGTTAGGTTGGAGAGAAAACTGTCCCTTTCGAATGATGTTATACTCTTCTTCTTAGTCTTGTCATTTAGCCTGAAAATAAAATAAAATGAATATACAATTAAACAAATCTAATAAAATATAAAAACAGAATAAAAAATAAATAAAATTTAAAAAAAAATGCTCTTCTCCCACCATCAAAGCAGCTTTAACTTAGCTTAAAGGAATAGTTTACACAAAAATGAAAATTCAACCCATAAGTCTTTGATTAACCTTCAAAATAGAAATTAATACATTGTTAATGAAATTTAAGAGATTTGTCCCTCCACTGAAAGTCCAGGAAACCAAAACTTCCAAAACGGGTCATAAAGGTGTCATAAAACATCCATATGAATCGAGCATTCTAATCCAAGTTTTGTGAAAAGATACAATCACTTTACATGATGAACAGATTTAATTTAGGCTTTTATTCACATATCAACCATATTATTATTATATATATATTTTTATTTTTTTTTAACAGATTTCAAGAAAAATGTGTGAATAATTTGTGTTTCAAAGATTAACTGAAGACATACATGTTTGGAACAACATGACAACTTATATTTCTGGTTGAACTTCTCCTTTAAAGGTTTGATCTAGTTCATTTTTAAATTCATTAGTTCAGTATACTTCAAGGGATAGTTCACCCAAAAATGAAAATTCTGTCATTAATTACTCACCCTCATGTCGTCCCAAGCCCGTAAGACCTTCATTCATCTTCGGAACACAAATTAAGATACTTTTGATGAAATCTGAGAGCTTTCTGATAACTGACACGTTCAAGTCCCAGAAACGTAGCACGGACATCTCTATCTGTCTATCTATCTATCTATCTATCTATCTATCTATCCTTTTAGCTTCACATAATAGGGAAAAATAGCTCTTTCAATGTCAAACCAATGGAGACATATCATATTAAAGGGATAGTTCACCCAAAAATTTCAATTCTGTCATTGATTACTCACCCTCATGCCGTTCCAAGCCCGTAAGACCTTCATTCATCTTCGGAACACAAATTAAGATACTTTTGATGAAATCTGAGAGCTTTCTGATAACTGACACGTTCAAGTCCCAGAAACGTAGCACGGACATCGTTAAAATAGTCCATGTGACATCAGTGGTTCAACCTCAATGTTACGAAGCTACGAGAATACTTTTTGCGCGCAAAGAAAACAAAATTAACAACTTTATTCAACAATTTCTTCTCTTCCGTGTCAGTCTTCGCTGCATGTTCATGAGAGCACCACGGTATGCATGTGGTGTTGCTGACGCAGGAGCCAGCGTTGTGGCGTAGAACCTGGATGCGCTGCGGCTTGTTTACAAGCAGAGGAATGCACACGCATGCGTCTTAATACTCTCACGGAAAATAAGAAACTGATGAATAAAGTTTTTTTTTTCTTTGCGCACAAAAAGTATTTTCATAGCTTCATAAAATTACGGCTGTCACATGGACTATTTTAACAATAATGTCTTTACTACCTTTCTGGGCCTTGAATGTTTTAGTTGCGTTGCTGTCTATGGAGGGTCAGAAAGCTCTCGGAATTTATCAAAAAATAACTTAATTTGTTTTCTGAAGATGAACAAAGTTCTTACGGGTTTGGAACAACATGAGGGTGAGTAATTAATGACAGAATTTTCATTTTTGTGTGAACTATCCCTTTAATACTCACCCTTTATAGACTTGCTGCTCTCCACGACTGAGTCCCTCCAGTGTAGTGTCCTTAAGAATGGTGTGAATGCCTTTATCTACAGACACTTGAGCAATGCCAGCACCCATCAGCCCTGCTCCCAAGATAGCAAGTGTTCTACAAACAGAAAATCAAGAAAGATTCATTACTATTTTACAAGCAATAAAGATAAATCATTAAAGCCGCAATCCGTAAGTTTTGCCTCTTTGTCGCCATCTCTGTTTGAAAGCTGCAATTGCAATTATTTGCGGAATTATTTTCTTTATGTGGGTTGTGCGTCGGCACCGCTCCAGCGCGGATGAATCTAATGTTTTGATGTGTGGCTGTCAGTCACCGCACTGGTGTGGATCCTGTTCTTCGGAATCACAGATTCTAGCCTACATCTTAGAATACAGTATATGACCCAAATAAGAATTTTCACTGGATATTGTCATCTGAACAAGTAACTAAGTCTGTCACTTTTGTTCTGACCAAAAGTTACAAAGCATTACAATAAATCGTGCTACCAATGTTGATTAAATCTAACGATCGGTTAGCTCATATCACATCAAACTGTGCAAATTATTATTGTTATACTTTGTTCTCAAATTGTTAATGTTAACAACATCAGTATTGCGTGACTATGTGTATGTGGTGTGTATTAGCGTTACAATTTCTGTACAGTCTAATCTCTAATTGTCATATCATTCCGATTTCATACTGAAATTGTTTTAACCCAAAAAGCAAATTGTTCTCTTTAAAATACATAACTTGTGTGATCCCATGTAGGTTATCTGTAATCAGATGTACATGTAAAACTCGAATATAATCTAATTCAGTCACTTACATGTGTTTCATAAACACATAATCCTTTCTGGATTAAAATCAGTGATCAAAATGATACATCTAATTATTCCAGCTGCTGTGAGAAAAGGCTGT